TCAAGCTGGCTTCAGCATTATTTGTGATCAACTTAGTAATCTATGATTAATGAGAAACAAAAAAATTTTGGATCTTGTTAGCTATTTCCCCCTATTTCGATTTTCAGAAATTCAACTTTGGCGGCCACATTTTTAATAGCTTACAACAATTTTCAGAAAATATTGCTAGTTGAAAATTTTTACGTTGGTATTATATAAATAGTGAGTAATACAAATACGAACGCGCGAAAATGAAAACCCACTTAATTGTTGACATTTTTGAACTGCATGTTTTATACAGAAATGGTTGTCAAACATAATACATGCATACGGGGGAAATAGTTAAGAAGTTCCAAAGGGGGGGGGGGGAATAATTAACAAGATCCAAATTTTTCCACGTGGGCAGAAGATTTTAACTTTTTTCCGGTTTTTAGCATATGATTGCCCTCCGGTTGTAATCTGCATTCAGTATATCCTAATGAGCTATTCACATGTTTAAAATAATACAACACAGTTCTTTTTCATCAGGATTTGTCTCGAAACGACTCCTGCATCTAGCTAAAAATTGTGTTTTAGATGGTTTAAACTTCAGACTTGTCTTTGTTTTTCACCATTGAGCATCTTTTATTACAATTTTGTTAGGAAAAATAGGTTTAAATTTTTCGCTTTTTTTTTACAAAATATGCGTCAATCCAAAATCATTCAGCCAAAAAATATTGTTTATGTACATTAGGCTGTTTTTGGAGATTTAATTCTATTTCTTCACTACCACAAAAAAACGAGTTATTCTCAAACCGTTTTGAAATGAATCTAGTGATTGGAACCTTCTGTGCTACTCGCACAGCTATGGCTAATTTTGTTTAATTAACTCAAAGGTTCAACGAGCGAAAAAAGAAGGAGTATTTTCTAGTAAAAACGCGAAAAATTCTCTTACATTCTCCTTGCACCCATCCAAAAAATAATCAATTCAGAAATAAACTACTATCTTATCATATATCAAGATTCTAACATGTATGAATTTACAATTGCAATAATTATCTGGGATGCACGAAATAGAAAAAAAAAAGTGTGAGTTTAATTTATTTACTAGACTGCCTAACTGACTCAAAGATTCTTCATGGCTTCAGCGTAGCTCTGAAGTTCCTTCTTGATGAAGGCTGCCTTTTCGTCATCAGATGCACGCGGATTTTTTTTAACGTATTCTGCAATCTTCAGGACTAGTTCTCCCTGAAACCATAAAAATTAAGCAATAACTAGCAGAAATTTTAAATCTTTCGCCCGCTAAGGGACTCAATGTGCTTGGATGAATTTTGAGCAAAGATAATCAAAGAAAAATGCAATGAAATGAAAAATTCTAGACAAACTGTACGCCTCACTAATGATTGTGCTTTGATTAAGTTTGGAATGTTTTTTGAACTTTCTTCCAGAGCGCGCCTTCCTTTAACAGCCTAAATTGGCACAGATAACTAATTTACAAAAATTATAGTTGGTGCTCCAAAAAAAATGCTACTGAATAGAAATAAAGGGGCGGCCTTCGGGGATGAGAAGAACTTCTGAGGGCTATTTGGATTTGATACTAATTAAAATAACACTTGTATCTCGAAAATAATGAACTGAAAAATAGGGCAACTGATGCATTCCAAGTTCAACTCTCAATGAAAAATTACTAACTTCTAATTTAGTCCTCTGTTCCTGGTGAGTCATCCTTTGGTAGATGTCATAGGTTAACCTGAGTCCCAAATAACTCCTGGTTTGCTGCTGGGCCTTTGCACTCTTTGCGGGGTCAGAATCCGTCATACCGTAGAAGAGGAACTTAAACAATGCCACATTTTTAAATACTTCGACAAAATATAGATTTGGACCTTGATATACCGAGATATTCAAACAAGGATTTCACTTGTTTACACCGACTGTGTGCAGTTATTAGGAAAATTTTAACTTGTCTCGGCGTCTTTGCTTTAAGAAACAAAAATAGCCAACAGATAGTAGGATAAACTCAAAAAAAAAAAAAAAAAATATATATATATATATATATATATATATATATATATATATATATTTGTATTTCACGTAGTGTTTATGAATTAACTTGTATTTTACCAACAGTTTTCACATGATAGCAGGAGTATCAAACTCATGTCCGGAGCGTCATGCAATAAAGCACCGCCTATTTGGTCACAAGACAAAGCTTACAAAAATTGGAAGAGTGAGTTGGATTTATGGCTCGTTGTGACTGATCTCGAAAAGAAAAAACGAGCACCTTCAAAAGTATTATCACTACAGGGGCGTCAACTCGAAGTAGCCAGGGAGTTACCGCTAGAGAAATTGCATCACGATGAAGTAGTTAGCAAGTTACTCGAGAAATTGAATGGAGGTTTCTGGAAAAACAGCGTTGACAGCGAAATCGATGCATATGTAAAGTTGATTGATTTAAGCAGTAAATTTGAGCAAAAATGCTGGATTACCTGCTTGCATTTGAATCTTCCAATTGATCTTCCAGAGTCAGTTTTGCAATTGATCTTCCAGAGTCAGTGCAAGCTTGCAAATTGTTACATGGGGCAAACTTGCAGCAAATCGAGCGCCAAACAGTTTCAGCAGCAACGCAGAAGTTCGGTTTCAAAACTTTAAGTACTTTGAAACTAATTTTCTGATACGCTGGCACAGACATTTTCAGCAGAAGTAGACAAAAAAGTAGGAGCCAATTTTTAGCACAAATGATACAAGAGATTCAGAAGTTGATCGTGATGAACAGAGAGCATTTTTCAGTCATGGACCGAAAAGTTTCAAACATTCCTTCCATTCCAGAGGTAGGGAAATGGGAAACGCGGAAGGTAGAATTTTCAAAGCACGAGAGGTAGAAGCTTCAAATTAGTCATGGGCGTAACCCTAAAGATACTCATGACAACACAACTACTTGCAGAATTTGTTGTTCGAGAAAACATTGCGTAGGGGAAAACCCTGACAAATCCGGGAAACGGGGCGCTAGTGAAGACGCACATGTTTTGTTGTGTTTTGCGAATTTATCGCCTAACCTTTTGGAAGAATGCTTAAGAGGCACTATAATTGATACAGCGTGTTCTACGACTGTATGTGCGCACAAGTGGATTACTGATAGAAATTGAACCCGCAACAACGGAACATGGTGAAAAAGACTTCGAACATATCAAAATTTTTGGTGGTGGCACTGTTGTCAAATCAATTCAAAAATGCTGTGTACCTGTCCAGATTGGCGAAGTTGCGTGTCTTATATGGATTGAAATTACTGAAGGGAACCTTCCTCTTTTACTCAGTCTTAAGTCAACGAAGAGAGCTCAGGCTTGTTTAGATACAGGAAACAACGCTTTCACGATTGGAGAAGGTGTGAAATCCCATTTTTTGGGACCAAGACAGGGCACATGGTGATAAAGTTCGACCATTGGACCTCCTTTACGTCTACATTATTCGTAGCACAAGATAGTTTGGATGAAAAATTATTTTGTTGCACGAGCAGTTTGATTATTGCTCTATCAAAAAATGCTGATTTGATTAAAAAAATGTTGATAATATAAGTGACGTGGTTAAAAAAGCGATATATGGCTGCTCAGTTTACGAAATGTTCAATCGTTCCAGTGCAAGACCTGTTGCTTCTTTGCCGTTATCAGAATCGTTTAATGACTCTTTTGCGATGGATCTGCACGAACACTAACGATCCTCTTAACGTTATGTATCCACATTATTGACCTCCATGCCCGTTTTAGTGAAGCTGCCATAATTTTAACGAAGACTACTGAAACAATAGTTAACTGCATCAATAAAATTTGGATTCTGAAACTTGGTGCTCCAAAAAGTATATTAACTGACAGCGGAGGCGAGTTCGACAAAGCCAAGTTCAGAGAAAACGCGGAGTTTTATGGCATTCGTAGTCTTGGAACTGCAGCCAATAGTCCGTATTCGAACTGTTGCTGCGAAAGGCACAACGCCGTACTGACTGAAACTTTTTTGAGGGTTCGTTGTGATTTAGGATCTGACTATGATAATTTATGTCTAAAGACTGCTTTATTTGCTAAAAAATGCTTATCATCGGACCTTGGATTTTCACCGTATCAGCTTGTTTTTGGACGTCTTACAAGATTGCCAACTGTGTTTTACAGTGAACTACTTGCATTGAATCCGAAGTGACCAGACGTAGAAAACGGGCTGCGTCAACATCTGAATGCACTAAATCTTGCCAGAGAAGCTTTCATATCGGCTAAGTCATCTGAGAGAATTAATCGAGCGCTCAGGGCTAACACAAGAAACTTCAGTCGAAATTAGAATAAGTCGTTCTCGTTTTTTTGCGAAATTTCCAGGTTCGTATTTGCAGAGAGCAATTTACCTACCTTTTATCAGATGAAATTGAATTGAGCTCAAAACGTACACATATTCAAGTGCATTAAAATGTATGCATGAACATCTGTAGTTATTAGAGCATTTAAAAACTTTTTTAAAAAACAAACGAACAAAATAATCACAACCTATATAAGCGTCTTCATTACCTTCAGTGACTCTTAAAAATCAATTAATCTTCAAAGATGTAAGTGCATGAACAAAGCGCTGAACAAAGAGTTAAATTAGGCAAAAAACTTCCAATGGTTTTTTCTATTCCAATATTTTCAGCTTGTGCTGAGCTGAATATTAATTTTATTTATTTGAAGTCAATGTCCACCAAATAAACGTTCAAACTTACATTCAATAAGAAATCCGCATCACTCATTTTGAGTGAGTCAAGGTCGAACAGCTTGTTTGCACCGTCCATTTTCTTAATCTGAAAAAAATACGAAATCAAAAACTAATCAACCCAAATACTTTTTTCGAAAAGTTTTGTTTCAAATCAACCCTTAGTTTATAGAGCACTAGTTTTCATATTGGGTCGTACTGAGTTTAATCAGCTCTGCGGCAGATCAAATAGCCTCTTTCTTTCCTGTCTTCTGAACTAAATCTTTCACGCCTTAGGCTTCCACGCCTTTGTTCGTTTCTAAATCTTGCATTAGATCCAAATTTGCCATCTATAGCCTTCTTTGCACGAGTTGCTGTCTTTTCTAAGAACGGCTTTCAAATACACGTTTCTTCCTCAAGCCACCCATCTGGAATCTTCCTGATAATCAGTCGTCGCATTTCGTCATAGCCCAGACATATAATCGCAACTGGCACAGGAAACATATAATCATACAGGTCATCAATTTCGACCATCATGGTACCAAGCTCCATTCCACGCGTGAATGAATTCAGACACATCAGCACAATTGCTAACCCATACATCACAAGCAAACTAGTCAACAGATATCCGTTTTTGAACAATCCTTGTTTAAAAGCACTGCATTTTCTGGCTTTACACGAGATTGAAAAGCTCCATTGGCACACGACAATTGCCCAGAAACTACTAGCATGCGCCATTTTCAAAGCGGTCTGTCTGCTCTCGAAAGTCCACTCTGTTCCTAGAGCGTCGTTTATGAAGCTATGCTGCACGTTGTGCCAAATATAGCCCATCCCTAAAACCCATTCCCATGTTTTACACAGAGACGAAGCGGAGCTTCGCACTACTTGCGATGCAACAAAAACATGAAAGAACAGCTTCAAAGTCGAAAAACAAGTCGACAAAAAATTTAAAAAGTTATGAAAAAAATACAAAAAATAGCTCTACCAAAACTCTAAGTACGATAGAATTTCATTCCAGGCAAAAACCCCAGTAAATGTGAATTTTAAATAAGCAACGGAACAAAAATTACAAAGAGTCAACAAAGTCGAGCACACACAAGTTGATACGAAAAAACAATGATTATATGAAAGCAATCATTAAGTGTAAAGTCCCAACTGAGACTACAATGAAAAACACTTGCACTTGCAACTAAAATGAAAGCTGCTTACAGTGCAAGAAAAATCAGTAATGTAACAACTAAGTCGACAACCTTTGAGCAGACACCACTTCAGACTAAAAAAAAATAATTTTATGGAAAAAAAAATCAAATATTTCAAGTTCTCCCCTGATACTAGAATGGACAACACTTGCGCATGCAATGAAAGTTCCTTACAGAACAAGCAAAATCCGTGATGTGACAACTAAGCTGACAAACTGGAGCAAACAAGTGAAAGTCCCACAATCCAATTTTAACTAATTTTTTTTCTCGATTGCATACAAAAGGAAAAAAAACAAGAACCGGCCGAGACGCAAACCCAAGACCTTAGGATGCAAAGACGACGACGTTACCCCGAGGCCAATTGGAAAGGAACCTGAAAAAAGTTAGCGTTCAATGCCAAGCGATACCGCAAAAACAGCATTGCAAGTTAGTAGACAGGAAAGGAAAGAAGAGCCACAAAGTCCAAAGAAAACGAAAATTTTTTGGAGAAACCACAATTAAAAAAAACTTCAAAGAATTGTCTGGACTGATGTTTTATTTGCGTAAAAAACGTCCAGAAAAACAATCGATAGCATTTAATTAAAATTCAAAAACACTTATCGAGCGAAAATATTAATGTTGTCATGAAAATTTTTTAAGTATATATTCTATAGGGAGATTTTTACTATTTTGTGCAGTCCGGGGGGAAATCACGCAAAATATTTTTCACTCCAACGACCCAAACTTAGGCTAGCAAGTCGATAAAACTTGAGCCGAAATCATTTGAACGGAAAAAAAAATAAGAAAGAAAATATACGAAGTCAAGGTTAATAGAATTGCAAATTGCAGGAGTAAACGAAAACATAACACACAGTTGAAGCTGAGCTTCGCACCACTTGCGATACGTTACACAAAAGCCGCTAAGTCGAAAAAAAAATGGAAAATTTCGAACTAGATCTACCGATAAGACTAGGTTTGAAACAACAAGTCAAGACAATAGAATGTGAAACTAGCATCGAAAGAAAACGTATCACGCGGTAACAAAACCGGAAACACCTTAGTAGAAACCCTTTAGACGAAAAAAAAACAAAAAAAATATCAAGTCCTCCACACCCTCAAATAAACAAACAAACAAAAAAAAACACAAACTTTATTCACGCGTCAAATGAAGCAAAATGCGGCCACTATGCCGATATAATATCGGCCGAAACCTATTAAGCCAAAAAAAACAAGACTTCTAAAAATTACTTAAGTCCCCTCACCCTCAAAACACATACACAGCTCGTGAAACGACGCAATCTGTGGCGACAAAACCTATGCAAAATAGGCCAAAATCTATCAAGCCTAAATTTTAGGACTAATAAGAAGTTATTACGTCCCCTCGCCCTCAAAACATTAACACGCACACACACACACTTTTTTCGCCCATCGAAAGGCACAATATGCGGCCATTAAACTGATACAATATAGGTCAAAATTTATCAGCCGAAAATAAAGACAAACAAAATTTTTGCCATGAAAAACTTGAACTATAAATTCTATTAAGATTTTCAGCCTTTTGTGCGATCTAAAGATGAACAAAAAAATTAGGTTTCTCTTGAAACCATGCGAAATTAGGCCACTAAGCAGATATAGAATAGGCCTGAGCCTAATAAGTAAAAAAAAGGACCAAAAAGAAAAAGTAAAATTTTAACACATCGAGTTCGAAAAATCACAATCAACATAAAAAGTAAATTTCAAAAAGGACAGATGTTTAAAAACAAACAAACTAAAGCATGCTTAATAGTTGGAACCGAGAGGAATAGGATGATTTGCAAAAAGGAGTCCAGAAGTGAGTCCTTTGGAAAAAGTTGTTTACGGGAAAAAGTCTAGTACCCGAATGCAAAACTCTTGCTATCGCAAGGGTAAAAAGAAACTACAATGAAAACTGCAACAGCAAAAAAATTCTAAGATGTGGCAAGTAAGCCGACAAAACATAGGCAGACAAATAATAAGCTGCCATTTTTTTAAAACGAAACATTTCAAAATACTCGAAACCGAAAGAAAGTTTTCTGCGACACCTGAGCCGACAAAAATTAGCAACAGACACGAAACTAAAAAAATTCGAAAATTCTCAATTTCGACAAAAATCGGTTCCGACTGAAATCGAACTTCTGGGATTTGCCGTCTCAATCATGGGTGCTACCACTTCACTAAATGAACAGAACACTCCTTGAATTTATATAAAAAACAACTCTTACAACTTTTTACTTAACAGCATGATAACAAAATCAAATAAGGATAGCCGGCACAGATTAGCACAGAATGTTCCGACCATAGTCTAAACTAAACTTTTTTAAATTAGTATCATTTTTTCGGTGTGGTTTTAAAAAAATCTGAGCGAAAAAATAGAAATTAGGCATATTCGACAGTCATAGACAAACTCGCTAATTGGAAAACAGTTTTCATAGTAAGTAAAAAAACGAAAGAAAATCGTTTAAAAAATTAATAATTTCACAGATTTTTTCTAACTTTTTTGATTAATTTTTTTTTAATTTCTGAAAACTTTGATTCTCAAAACGACGCGAAAGAACCCCAAAACTTAACTTTGCTCAATTAAAACAAAAAATTCACGACTTGAATTAAGTTTAAATTAGCCATTTTAAGCCAGCATGCTAACCTTAATAGCTGGAATCTATACCAAAAATCAAGAACTTGCAAACCGGTTTTCTCGAGAAAATTTTTTTGGAATTTTTAAATGTCGTTCGAATCACGACTGAAAGGGCTTTAATATGATATATACATTTCTACCCAATCCAATGATTGATTGTGGAATCCTGATTTTGCATGGAAAGAAAAAAAAACACCCGAATACAAAGTTCCTCCCCATTTTCAATGGTCGGAACAATAAAAAAAAATCTGATCGATTGAAGGAAAAAACGAGCGAAGGGTTGCTTCGAATTTGACTTCGATAGAATGATACAAGCCATTATACAATTTTTCACTGAGCTTCAAGTCTACCATAGCCCGATTAATTTGAGCTGGAAAAATTGTTCTAAATGAATGGTAAAAGAAGCCTGATTGCGCAAAATTTACTACTGATTTTGCGAAAGTAATCACAACAGCTGCTAGATTGATTGTGGTACCTTATTTTGCGTGGAAAACAAAAAGAAAAGTATTAAACACATCCGAATACAAGTTTCCTACGCAATTGTCAAATGATCGAAACAATAGCAAAAAAATAAGCAAAACTTCTTTACCTGCCCAACACCGGAACACACTGAAACGTTTTTTAATTCAGGTTAAAAAAAGTGCCCAAATTTTAGGCAATTTTGTTGCTGCGGTAACTAAGCCGACAAAAAAAGCAGACAAACAGAAGTCCGACAAAGATATTTTGAATCGCAGACAATTTTCCGCTAACAAAAAAAGGTCCTGCCCGGATTCGAACCACTGACATTTGACTTTATAGCCAGGTGCGTTACCTCTTCGCCACATGCGCTAAACAACGTGTGACTTTTCATTTCATATGAACCAAAAGTAAAGTGATTCAGGTGATTCTGTTGAACTGGTTGTTAACCCGAAAAAAAGTCATATTCAGCTAATCGCAAGCTTAAAAAAAATAAATCAATGAGAAAACAGGATCAATGGGTAAACTTTTTTATTCGGCTGGGAAATCTGAATAATAAAGACCTCTTTCGAAACAAGAAGTCGATGAAGTTTTTCGTGACCTACACACTTTTTCTGTTCGATAATCGAGTTTGGCTTCCGTTGAACAAAGGAAGTGAAATGAACATAAAAAGAAATCAAAAGTCAACCACGAAAAAGTAAATTTCAGCCTGAACAAATTTTAGTAGGACTTTTCGTGAAAATAGATTAAAAAATCATCACGACCTGTATGAGAGTCTGAACTATGTTGATCGAGTGTTAAAAATTCGGATAAACTATAAAATTTGGACTGCCACTATCATATATTAAATGTTTAACTGAGTTTGTATAGGACATTATTATGACCAAATTAGCTTGCCTAATTGTTTCGACTTTCGATTAACCAGAAGAATATATATGCCTGTAGTTTTTTTATTCAGAGATTTGTTGAGTGAGGATCGAACATAGAAGCAAGATTATCCCAAGGAAGTGCACCACACACCATCCTGAATGCAGTTTGAGCCATGGTAAACTGCGCGTTTAACACTTTGAAGACGTCATCTATGATACTGAAAGCGTTATGCGGATTATTATCCCGCAAACAAAATTGTTTTGAAATGAAATCAGGAAAGCTAATGGCCGTATTATTTCCTTGTACGACTCAAACTCTTTGATATTGGCAGTCCAAAATTTATAGTTGATGAAGATTTTCTGCACCAAAAACTATTGGAGACCAGAACAGGGCAGTCGGAACATTCAGGGCTTTTCCCTGATGAAAAGTTTTCTTGTTTCAATTTGGAACTATTATGAGTCCAGGATAATTTCCGAAGCCTTATTTTGATCGCTGGAAAAAATCCGACCTAAATGACTAAACAAAAAAGAATAAGGAAGCCTTAATCGCAATCCCATCATTTAAAAGAATCACTCACCAAAAACAGGCCCACTGAAAAACCCCTGAGAAATCATCGTTACACAGAAGTTTGTGACAAGCACACTTGAGTGCCAGAATCCATTTATGAAGCTGACAAAGAACATCTGTCTCCCAGCAAACCTTTCCAGGCGTCGATTTCGTGGCTTCTGGCTCAACAATTTTCCTTCTGGTCGCTCGCACAGTATACAGTACGCTGGCATTGTAAACACAATCCAATCCAGGATTAAAAACGTTGTGAAGTCTATCAGTTCTGGTGATCGCAAAACTATGTAGAAAAAATAGGACATCATTTGCGGTACCTTGCCTATGATCATAAATGAGGTCATTTTCTTCATGTTATCAAACATACTCCTACTTAACTCAATTGCCTGGACTATCGCTGCTAAACCACAAAGCAACTCTTTCTCCGAAGAGGTCTTTGGTGGAGGTCTGAGCGTCATAGGCGTTTCTGGATCGCCGAAATGTTTCTTGTCTTTACTTCCTCCACTCATATCAGCCAGCGCTTTATCAGAAGTCCCCTTCAGTTTCCTCTCGGCCGAAACTTTTTCTTCCCCCACCTCTCGTATCAAAACGTCAGCACACGCGCGAGTTATCATGGGAGCTCCAAACGTTGCGAACCCAATGTCGGCACGTTTCAACACCTGCGAATCCGCAAACGTACTTCCTGTTACACCGGTTACATGTCCCAAGCCTTGCAGTAATTTCACAATTTTAAACTTATTCTCAGGTGATGCTCTTGCAATTACGATCTCCTGTAAATTCTTGACAAGCGACTCCATAATAGGTCTGGCGCCCTCATATTGTTTGTATTTACTCTTCTTGTCTTTTTTCAGCTTAGTCGCGAAGAAGTTGTCGAAATCTTGGAAGAACTTTATGTCGTTTCCTGTCATGACCATACTGACATACTCTCTCGAAGTCGCAGAGTTGACTAACTTACCTCGTCCTTCCAGTATTTTTTCCAGCTCAGTGTTTTCTGCGTCTCTGCGTTGACTGATCACTAAGTCCTGGGGCTTGATTTTGTTATCCATTTTATTGTACATAACGTTGGTTGTGATCAGACCTGCTTTTCGCGCAAATTTTTCAGCGGTTTCTTTGTCGTCACCTAAAAACCATAAGCAATTCAATTAAAGGCAAGGAATGAATTTGACTTGGTGTTTTTTTGAGTTTGATTAATAAGGTTAGTAATTACGACCTTACTTTTTCAGCAGTATATTTTAATTTTTCTCTCGAAAACAGTATATCATAAATAATCATTCTGAAACCCAATGAGAATAAGGGGATGTTAACTCACTTGTAACAATAACCGTCTTAATTCCAGCATGCTTGCAAGTTTTCACCAGTTTATCAGCCCCGTCTGCTATATTCTGTTTGAAGGATATCATCCCTATAAAGCAGAATCCCTCTCGAGGAACTTGCGTTTTTCCATCCATAGCTGCCCTGATGTCGTAGAAATTGTGATTCGCCTTGAACCTGTCCGCGTCCAGGACTCGTCTCGCTAGAGCGATAACTGTTTCCTCGCCACTGACGAACGTCTTATGCGCACTGATTAATTTCTCTTTATCGGATTTCAACAGTCGACGAACTTGGATGACACCTTTCTTCTTAGTTGAAGATTCCATTATTTGAGTGCACATGTTCAGAACACTTTCAAAGCCTCCCTGCAACGAAAAAAAATTATACAAACAACGGAATTTCCTTAAAATGCACCAAACAAATTTATTACTAAACAAAATCTAAACAACGAGATGACGCTTTGAAAACTAAAATCACCACGCCTCCAAAAAATACTTACTTTAATTTGTGCGACGAATGCGTACTTGCTCTCGCCTGACTTTAAATAACTGATCGAGTACTGGACAAATGCACTGTTTAGTGGCTCGTAGTACTTCCTGGCAATGGCTAAAGCGTCAATGTGTTTCCTGTCTTCGAAATTGGCGTAGAAAAAATCGGTGATGGCCAGGTCAGAATGGTCTACTTTGTTCATTGAGTTGTCGTCGTCTGGAACAAAAAAGATTATTTTAATCAAACGAAGACAAAATTATGTAAAATCACAGATAAATATGGGCTCGTAGGACTATTGCCGTGACTACCAAAACGGCTTGAAATAAAAAAGACAAGGAAAATTTTTTGGTTAATGAATTTCAGAGCAAAGAATGCACACTCGCATATTAAATGTTCAATTTTACACAGAAGCGAAGGGGAACTTAGCACTATTTTCGAAACCACACAAACATAGCATTGTTGGTCAAAACAGAAAAAAAAATGTCTGGATTATTGTTCATTTTGAAACAAAAAAACGTCCAGAAACAAGACAGGAACATGTAGCAACTCAGCTAATAAAAAAATGTGCAAAATCCAGTTGTGGCAGAATGTCGTGAAATTGAATTTTTACGCACTATTTTTCGGAAATTACACAGAGGGACGAATCGGAGCTTCGCGCCACGTGCTATGCCACAAAATTAGCATTCCAAGCTTGTAGAAAGGAAAGGAAAACCACAAAGTCAAGAAAAAAACGTAAAAAATTGGCATAAAGTTTCCTGGAATGATGATCTATTTGTGGAAAACAAGTTTAGAAACACAATCCACGGCGTTTAATGAAAGTTCACAAACAACTATTTCGTTTACAACAACATTTCGGTAAATTCCCGTAGAATTAAAATTAAAATTACTTTAGGAAACTTTAAACAATGCACTCTTTTCTAAGATTTTAAGCTTTCTCTGCGATCCGGAAAGAAGCTTAAAAGTAATGCTTCCCTTTAAACCACCAGAAATTAGGTCACTCAGCCAAAAAAAAATATGAGCCTTTTAGCAAATTAAAAACTTTTAGCAAAAAAAACTAACACTACGATGCCAGGTGTAGAAAAATTACAAAATGCAGGGTAAATCAAAACACTAAAATCAACTACAAAAAATTGGGTACAGCAAAAAAACAACTCTAAGATGTGGCAATTAAAGCCGCCTTAAAATAAGCAGACAAATAATAGACAGACAATTCTCTGGAAAACTGAATATTTCCATTTGAAAAAACTTCCTGGTCCGATTCGAACCCATGACCTTTGCTACTACAGGCGTATTCAATATCTCCAGACAAAGTGTGCCGCAGAAGCTTAGAAATCATTATCTAACAAGTTACCAAGTGATTCTGTGAAGCAAGTTGTCAACCCGAAAAAATCTCTGATTTGATTTAATAACGCTTGCTTCGAAACTCTCGAATTTCGAAGAAAAAAATAGACGTCCATAAAGCTCTTCGAATTTACAAAGCAATTTATCATTGAGGCACTTTTGATAAAAATTAACCAAATTTAAGTAAACTGGATCAATAAATAAAAATTTTATTTCGCAGGGAAATCTGGAAATTAAATTCTGCTTCGATACTAGAAGTCGATCAAGTTTTTCGACACCCTTTCACTTTTGATGTTCAAAAGTGGATTTTGCCTTCCTTTTAACAAAGGAAACGAACAAAATTTTAAAAGAAATCAAAATCCAAGCCGGCACAAATTTTAAGATTTTTCGTGGAAAAAAACCATCGCGACCTATATAACAGTCTGAACTATTTTCATCTACTTTTAAAAAATCAGATTCCGTAAATTTAAAAAATTACAGTAATAAATTAAAAACGCTTTCAACAACACTTAAAAATAGTAATAGCTAAAAATCAGTGATGGAGCAACTAATCTCACAAAACATAAGCAGACAAACAATAGGGCCGACATTTTGTTAGGAACGGAATAATTCTCGTTCAAAAAAACGGGTCATGGCGGACAAGCTTTTAAGTCAACAAACGCCAAGCTATAAATGATTCAACCGATTTTGTTAAACTAGTTGTTAACCCGAGAAAGTCTATATTGCGCTTTGATAAGCGTTAAAATTCATGAATGGGCTTCTATACTATTTTTCGAGAAATAGGAAAATTCATCAAGGATTTTTAGGTTGCGCAAATTGGTCTTCGAAATGTCGTGACACTATAAAAATCTTATTTAACCAAAATGTATGCTCCGCAAGCATTCTTGTGAAAAAAAAAACAGGGCAAAAATGACATTTTTACAAGGTTTTTATTGTACAAAAACGCGTTTTTTCGGCGCGCGCATCCCTTCAAATTCAGTGCATACCGGCGCCTAAGGTCCCGTTAGAAAATCGTTAGTGTCATTCAGCCATAAGTATGTTAAATCTTTCCGAATTCTGCAAATTCGCCCTTGACCTTATGGTTCTACAATCTAGTTTGAAAATTTACGATGGAAGACATTTCATAGAAATCGAGCTTATTTATCAATTACCTTTTTTACCCAGACGGGAAATCAGCACAGAACTACATAGCACCGATATCTCTCTCATCTGCTTGTAAACATGATTTCGCTTCTCAGGTACAATTGCTCCCGCTCCCCCTCGCCTCACGTTGATATAGCCTCGATCATAGTACAGGTGGGTGACGTGACAACTTGAATGAGTCAGCACTTCTGATTTGTCCAGCACTAGAGCGGTCATGCATGCTAAGCTATCGAAAGCAAAGACGTTCTTCATTAAAATGTTCGCTCTTTGTTTCAACACTGCTTTGGTTTTACTTAATGCAATTGCAAATAGCACAAATATGCTCGTTGGTATACAGCCTAACGTGTGTCCAATGAGGTATTTAAAAACAATTTCTAATGGGTACTTCATGGCTATAATTGCTAGCAGTAAAATTGCTCCTGGGAACAGCACAATAGCGATGATAGAATGGCTGAAGTGACGGATTTCGTCGTTGAAGTTTCCGAATCTTTGCTTTTGGCCAAGAAACAAAGTATGAGCCGTCCTTCCGAAAACAGTTTTGTCCCCCGTTCTCAGAACCACCGCCTTCACCACTGTCCCCTGCAGTAAGACTGTGCCCTGCAGAAGAGAGTTTTCACTCAAAATGGGGTTGTAATGAGTAATTGAGGTTGACTTGGTGAACTGCTCTGTGTCGCCTGAAATTATATCAATCTTCAATCGATGATTTCCAAAAAAAAAACTATTTTTCATACAATAGCGTATTTAGCAGGAAGATAGGCGCAGACACCCCATCCCAAAATGTTCCGTCATTTCAATCAAACGCTGCACACCTCTCCCTCCCTCCCTCCCCGAGTAAAACTTCAAGATAGTCATTTTTTACTGAGCGCCCAAAAAAAACTCCCGCCGATATCTATAGAATTTCAAGTCAGAATGAGTTCTTCACAAAACCTGATTTTAAAATCCAAATCTTACAGAGACAAAGTGACAATAACCTATCATGAAAACCTCCGAGCGGTAAGTATGCAGAAAAAACCAGGATAAACAGTGATCAAGGGGAGCGGAAGGGCATAAGCCCCACCCCCCCTCCAGGATTCGACCCCATGCCAACCCAAAGGGTCCTCCTTTGTACTATTTTGAGGTATCCATTTCTGGCTAACTGACCCTAATATTTTTCTAAAGGCCCCACTATATACTAATTTTAAGGGGGTGCGCGCGCCGAGAAAACGCGATATTTTGGTCAAATTTTTCAAATAAGTTTCTAAAACGCCTGTTTTGGCCTGTTTTTTTTCCAAAATTTTGCCTTCGGCGCAGAAATTTTAGCCAAAACAAAACAGGGTCTTGGTAGTGCTTTGGGAGAGCCTCAGAAAATCAATTTGGTCAACCTAAGAAAAAGGTCGACAACATATTCAAAATCCTCGATCCGCCCCCTGACAGTGATAGAAAAAAATAGTCCAAACAAAATAAGATAAGACAAAAAATTACACAAAATGCTGGCAAAAAAATTGTCTTACATTGTATTTTTTTCGCTATGAGAAAGGTTTGGTAGTAATAAAAAAGAAAGTTGTAAAAAAACACTATACAAAACGTGAAAAAAAAACATTAAATTTAAGAAACAAACAGCGAAAATGATTTTAAATTAATTTTAAATGCAAAAAAATCTCAAAAAATACGAGCAAAATATTAACACAGAGGCAAAGCTTCGTTTCGCAAAAACTATTGAGCGATGATAAGCATTTCTATAAAGTGCATTACGAAAAATTAGAAATAAGCCTCAAACTAGTAAAAACTCGGCCCCGTCTGAGATTCCAACCAGCGACCTAGAGATTAAGATCCTCAAACACTAACCACTCAGCCACGAACGCTTAAAATACATCAAACTCTAGCCACAAACAAAGCAGAGAACCGATGCTACAGTGAAATTATAAAATAAGTGAACACTTTTAATGCAAACTTATTATTTTCCTCGAGCTAGCTTAGAAAAAAGAAGGTTCGCAATAATACACTAAGCTGATCCCTACTGAAATACAAATTTAATGATAATTTGTGATCTGATAGCAAATATGGCCTCCTAGAAGCGAGTCTCCTGCTAAAAAAAATTATCGTTCAACAAAAACAATTAGGCTATACAGCACTTAAAGGCCCAATATAAATATATTGACGAAAAAACTGAATTAAAATTAAGAACAGCAGACCCTTCTAGAAGTAACGAGTAAAATATCAGAACAAAGCTTTTTTGAAAAGAGGAATTTTAATGAAGATCGGACAAGTGATTTAAAATTTTCAAACATATCTCGTCAGAGTTAAATCAACATAAAAAACGAATGCAAACATAGCTAGGGTTATTAAAAAAACGGGTAAATAAGCCGACACTTAATGAGCTGAAAAGCAGCAAAAATATTTTCAAAAAATCATACAAAAAGATTTGCGCCCGCCGGCTAAAATGCAAGCCCTATACAGGCAAAACAATTAAGCCGCATTGTAAAATTACCATGTCAAACTATTTACCATTACCTTTTGCAATACCCTTTCTTATCGCATGGGTAAAGATCTAGACATGAAGAAAAAAAAATTGGGTGAATATCGATGAACGATAATTCTAGGCAAACATGCCTGGCAAAACCATTGAATTTTAATTTGGCAACGGAATAAAAGCAACAATTTACGAAGCGGAAACAAAGCCACGAATCTTTGGCCAGACACCAGTTCAGCCGAAAAAAAAAAGATTTTATAAATTGCGTTTTCATTCCCCCTGAAACTACAAAGAAGAACATTTGCATTTACCCTCGAACTTGCTTACAGCACAAGAAAAATCTGTGATGCGACAGCTAAGCAGGCCAAACTCGAGCAGAAACACGAAAGTCCGATAATTCAATTTTTACTGAAAACAAAAATTTCAATTTCATACTTCCCTACTTTTACACACTGAAAAAAGGACCTTCCGGGACTCGAACCCATAACCTTTGGTGCAAAGGTGACCGTGTTATCTCTAGAGAAGAAACAAGAAAAAGTTGCTTAAGTGAAAAAAGTCTAGTTCCCAATTACAAGACACTTGCTTTCGCAAGTGTTAATTTCAAATTGATCCCTGCCCTGTCATTTATAACGAGTTTTCAAAGTCTATTACCTGCAAATGCCGCCATCGAAACGTAGAGATCGCTGTTTACTTCGAGAATTCTCATGTCCGCTGGAATGATCAGATTGTGTTTTATATCTGGGCATCTCAAATTTGTCACTATATCTCCGGGTAGCAAGGACCTGGCGTCAATTTGTTGAGTTTTACCTTCTCTGCATACCATAATCGGCCGATAGGTTGTCATTTTGAACCTCTTGGCAGCTGCTGATTGATGATATGGAACCAGAGTTAGTATCAAGGCGTTGATTATTATGAGAAAACTTGTGACAAACGGTAGATAATAATACGCTGCTGGTACTCGTATCGCATGAAAATGAATCCAGTCAGCTGAGGGCGCCAAAGAGTCCCAAATTCCTATGGTGTTCGCGAAGAATAGGGTAAATGTCACAATCCACAATCCTGTCTGTATACCGCCTACGCAATTTGAGTAAAACAAAACAAATTGAGAGCAAGGTCTTGGCTTCACAAATTCATTGTTACCGTATTTTTCATATGCTCTTCTAAGCCTAGTATAAGACAGACCGTCGTTCAGATCAGTCGACAATGCTTCCCGAAGCTGCGGAAGCGGCATAAGATGGTACTCATCTTGTACAGGTCGACATAGGTCATTCAGGCCGCTGATTCTAGGTTTGTTAATTGGTGTTGTCATCTGTTAAATCGAAATCCAATTTTAATAGATATGTATTATTGCAAAGTCAATGAAATCTTAATAAGATGAAAAAGATCTTTAGTCCAGTACACAAACAAAATCAAGAAAATGAAAATCCTTTCTAATAAAGCCAGGCATTAATTGAAGTCATGAGTTAAGTTCATGACATGCTGCAAATGTAGAGAGAAATACCGCAAATTTGTAGTAGTTAGAACATAGTTGAAAGATGCCCGAGGGCGGCTCTTTTGCCCGAGGACATCTTCAACTATGTTCTAACTGTTGAAGAGTATGTCTTTGCTCTTTCTGAGGGGAAAGATGCCAGAAAATTGTGAAAGAGTCCGGAAAAGTGCGCGAAACTATGCAATTGATTTCTTTTTTCATTCATGCGTTCTAATATTTCATTTTTAATTCATGCCTTTTCGTGAAAGAGCGAAAACATACTCTTCAAGATCAAACTTGACAACCTTGTTTTTGCCTTAGCGAAATAAAAAAACGATTTAACTTCTAATTCATAATCAGTTTAATGTTTGTAAATCATAAGATATCATGGTGAACGAAGTTTCTACTCTAGTACTTTATTATTTAAAGCCCTAAGAATTTCATTATTTAAGGAATTAATAGATAAGGGTACAGGAAGTCGAGATGGTTGCAAGTCAAGTCAACCAGATAGAGAAAATTAACACCTGCACAGAAAAAAACTGATTCTAGAAACGGCTGTTAAGACAACAAAACCCGTGATGTTGACTCAAAAATGGAATTTTCAGCCGATCACAACCAATTTAATTTTCTAGTGCACAGTCGGTTCTTTCAATGCTTTATTAATACTTATAGCTCTTTTTAGCTGCAACACATCACAGGCACCATACAGGACCCACTATTTAGTGTTTACCCTCCTCAAGATAACCGGAGAAATAAAACAAGACTCCAGGTTCTCAAATTTCATTTCCGAACTCGCATCGCATCACCTGCATAACAACACAAGCGTAGCACTGCAAAAAGGCGAAGAGAAAATGATACCGAAGACAAAATAGGCTAAATAAATTGATTAAACATAAAAAGAGCCCGGAAAAGTGCGCGAAACTGTGCAAATGATTTCTTTTTTCATTCATGCGTTCTAATATTTCATTTTTCATTCAAGCCTTGTCGTGAAAGAACATGTGTGAAAGAGCAAAAACATACTCTTCCAGATCAAACCTTGTTTTTGCCTCAGCGAGATAAATATTTTTTTCAAGACTCCAAAGAGCAAGGTCTATTTGTCAATGAAATCTTACAAAATATTTCTTTTTTGTAAGATTTTTTTGTAACATTCGTCTACTGCAGTCACACATGAGGCTTAAGAAAAATAGGCCCTATAACCACTGGCTCAAGGGTCAGGGACACCATCTCTTGTGTTTTTCTACCTCAAGAACGGTCGGAGCCAGTTCGGTTCGCTTGTGACATGAGACTACGACCCGTTACAGCTTAAAGGCTACTACTAAAATATCCCCCCACTCTAGAATTAGAAACGTCCCCATACTTAGGTGTGACATTCGACCGGAATGGCCAAAATGCAATTTATGCAGGATTCGAATTTTGAGCAGGAAGCCTTCCGAGTTGATGATTTCGAAGGATTAGCGACGTTATTGGAACGTTTAGCCAAACGGTGAGGGCTAGAATATTCTAGTATTTTAAATTTTCAAAAATTCGAATGATGACGTCACATTTCTGAGAAATGCTGAAACGGCCATTTTAACAAAAAAGCGAGTAAAAAAACAGAACAACTTTATCTGCGATTGCGAACAGAACGAAAATCGAGATTGAAGAAAAACGACAACGAACTACAATAGCAGAGAACGTTCCAAGTTGCAACTATTGTGCTGCTACAATAGTTGCAAGGCCGTTGCCAACAACGGTGAAGGGTGAGAACCAGCCTTCCGGATTAGCAAGAAATCAAGAGTAAGGAGCTTGATTTGGCGGATTCAAGAATCCGGAAGGGTCTCGGGACGGAAACTTTTATTAACTCACATAAACTTTTAGCATCCTGTCATGTCCTGACTTGAATTTAACTGATATTTTGATTAGTTTTGACAAGGATGAGGTGCTAGGAGTTGGGGGAAAGGGTTGATCCATCTTCGATGGAGATGATGATTTTTATCTACTGAACAAAAACCATAGTAATATAATAAGTAGTAGCCCTGTTTTTAGGAGTGACCTCGTGGTCTGGGGATACAGAGACCCAGCCATGAGCTCACTAATTTCGCATGTAATTCAGTTAATTTGAGCGTTCTGGTCGAAGCCGGAGAACAGTAACGTTTTTGTCAGCCTGATGTAAGAAAGACCACCGAAAAGTACTGGCTTGGTAGAGACGGTGAAAAACATGCAAAGCTCTGTTTAGACGCTAGCCAGTCGTCTTAAGACTTAGTTTTGTTATCCGTCGATATGTATCTTCCGGGCGAATGTTACATGTATGTTTTTATGGCGCTCCTGGGTGTTATTCTTTCGTAACATCATGACCGACGGAACCGTTAACGAGCACTCCGCGCCGAGCGGATGCTCACATTAACGCCCTTAATAGGCCTAAACTGCCGGGGCGGAAGGGTAGTTCGGAACGCGGAAGCCCTCCGGATTGCCGTGAATAGTTTTTTAACCTAGTTAAGACCGAAAATTCATGAACCAGGAAGGGTGGGGGGAATCGCGAACCCCTCGTCCCCTGAGTGGTTTGTGACCAAAAACATTTAAAGATATAAGTAAAACCAAACAAAAAGTAGTATAGTACCCAAGAAAAACAAAAAACATAAAAAATTACCGAAAAAACCAAAAACAGTAAAAAAGTAGAAAATCAGTAGAAATCATCCCCCCAGACAAGATGTGATTCAACCCCCCCGTTTGTTGTTGATAGATATATTGTTGTTACAGGCATTTATATCAGTCAGGATCGTTACGATCAATTTTGAGGCCCGTTTGTGAGGCTTGTACTGTAGGGTTATTTGAGCATTTAAGCACGTTAATGATAAATTGCGCTCAATCCGGAAGGGTCAGCTGATTTGCGCTCAATTCGGAAGGGTCTTGGGTGAAGACCGATCCGGCAAGCAGTTCAAGGAGCAACAAGAAGGGGCTCAACGACAACAACAATCGACTGTTGGGTATCGTTAACAAGTTTTGTATCCCTTTTGGTACAAAAAGTAAGATAGTAATCTGTGGGGGGCTCGACAGTGCTGCACTGTAGTGACCCTTCACCGAACTGCGAATATCCGAGTTAAGCACCTTAATTCGGATAATAAACAAACCCGGAGGGGTATAGTATTACTAATATTATTATTCATATAGCCTATATTAATAGTCATATATCGTTTTTCAGTGAAAAACAACGAAAACAGACCGGTTTTTAGGGTCAAAATAGCGATATTTTGATCCCCCCACAAGTCGCGATTTTTGAGATATCGATATTTTTTGAAACGGAAAAAAGCGCTAAGTTAGTGTGTTACATCGTAACTGCACTACTGTAATAAGTAGAACCGGTTAACTTTAGTTCGGAAGTGGTTGGAACTAGTTTGGTACCAAAAACCAAATTTTCCCAATTTTTGATAGTAAGAAAAACTAAAAATTTAGAAAATTTTTTGAAATTTTTGAGGTAGGACAGTAAAAATAGTTGTTCGGACAACCTCCACTAGTGAATCTACAAGTCTTAAAATCCGCTACCCGAAAGCCTTCCGGGTTGCAGAGAAATCGAACATAACGTGTTTGATTTGGTGGATTCATCAATCGGAGGGGTCCAGGTAGCATAGTTTTTCGCAAATTTTTTCTACAATAGCGTTTTAGATCGGGTCTTTTGCATTGAACTAGAAGAGTATAGGCCTTTTGAGCTCGGATCAATATTTTGAGGTCGAAAGGACCAGATTTGCGGAAAAAGTTAGGCGGAACCTATAAGAGAGAAAATTTTTTGAGTTCAAAAAAAAAGACGTTTTGGTTAATAACTTTGGAACTACTGATCATATCGAGTTGATCTTGGTACCAATAGATCAGAAAATAGCTGAGCTTACTAATAGGATCAGAAATTTTTCGGAAAAGCGAGCGAGAAAATTTTTTGAGATTGTTTTTAGCAAATTACACAAATCCGGAGGGGTACACCCTTCACGTTTTATAAATTTTTCTGAAAAACCCTTATACCTCTACCAAAAGTTGATAGCGATTGAACTAAGTAACTTAGGACAGTTCTAGACAAAGAGGGAGGGCTGAAGGCACAAGACAACCATAATACAGTCGAAATTAGGCAAGTGATAAGACCCTTCACCGTTAGTGTGAATTGTCAAATAAGTGCCTTAACTTCAACCCGGAGGGGTCTAGGAAAGGAACCTATACCCTTCCCAGTTAATTCAAACAGCATAAAAGCAACGCAGAACGTATCCGGAGGGGTATAAGCTGAAATTAAGAAAACTACGGAAAGCTACTTTGACAGAGCTAAGGGCTCCCAATCCGGAGGGGTCGAAATTTTTCAAAGTCAGAGGGGTCCGAATCCGGAGGGGTCTACTTTCCACAAAACCGGAGGGGTCCGAATCCGGAAGGGTCTTATAGTTGCTAATTCGGAGGGGTCCAAATCCGGAGGGGTCCATATTCTGACAGTCCGGAAGGGTCCTATTTGTGCCAATCCGGAGGGGTATTATTTTATTAAGGACTTAGGTAAACGAAAGAAAGACTAAAAAGCGAGAGGTATTAGGTTATTAATACACAGGCTAGGTATCAGTGACTGCACTGGTAACTTGCTCTCAAAAAAGAACCAGACTAATACAAAACAGGTCCGAACTCGGATATTCGCGACACTAAGTCTAAATTAAAAAGAGCGTGACTCATTGGTGTGGATTGAAACATAATACGTTTTTGGGAAAAGTGACTGCCCTGAGGATTTTAGTAGGTCTAGCTCGGGCAGTCCGAAGGCAGATAGGTAACACAGTACTCGGTGGGTGCAATAGACGCCCACTTGAGAAAATTACTGCCTTCAAAGTTTTGTCTGTTTGGTGCAGCACCAAGCAGGGAAAGCTTTTTCTTTAAAAGACAGGTTCGACTATTGTACTGCGACCGACTAAGAGTACAAGACACATACGTTTTTTTTATATATACATTCATATTGTGT